CCGGCTTCGCTAGGCCCGCCTAGGACAACTTTTCGAAAATGTTACTTTTCAAATGTGCCAATATATTTTTAATAGCACAAATATTAATCCAAATGCATACAACCACCCGAAAAAGTCAATTCAATTGAATTTTCAGCAAACAAATCAAACGTCATTAAGCCAAGGATGACATTTTTTTCTAAACACGACCTCAAAACAGTTTTTTTTTTCGACAGAATCGTCTTCTGGTGTAAATTTTTATTTATTAAGGAGAAAAGCCATCTTGAAAAATGATGATTTGCTCTAAAATTTCGAAGTTTTCAAAAAGCGGGCCGGCCATGTGTAATTTTTTTCCGGCCCGGCCCGCTTTCAGAAAAATCTCAGCCCGGCCATGGCCCGGCCATCTTTTCCACAAGTATGATTATAAAAGTGTTGATGACACTTCGACAAAATGTTATCAGCTGACAAATTTTAAAAATCTCTCGAAGGAGAAGATATATTTGAGCACAAAGCACACATATACTGTAGGTTTCTAAATTTAACTTGTCAAAAACAGCAGAGTTAAATACCATCTGGGCTATTTTCAAAATAACCGAATTAAGAACTAACTTGTTATTCGAAAACATTTACTCACACTAAAAATAACTGTACGAAAATCATTTGAGATTGAAATCTTTAATAGAAAAATGGATTCCATAGACTTCAGTTGATCGCAAGTCCCGGAAAAGCAGCCCTGGTCATTCTTTGCAAATGGTCATTCTTTGCTGTTTCTGATGATGTTGTAGATTTAGTAGATACCGTAAACAATCTGATAGAAGGTCATCACAACCGCCAACTCTATTTATCTTAACTCCTGTGAAAGATATGAAAAAGTGGTCAACGGACCAAACATTTATGTCAATATGGTAAACAATTTTTCAGCTGACAACTTTTTCATATCTTTGACGAAAACCGAGAAAAATTGGCTCTAAATAAAACTGTAAATCAGGCCATTCTATACAGGTTTTACGGTAACTTGTGATTCAAAAAATTACTGTAACAGTTCTGTCACAATGTTAATGATGTCACATGTGACATACAAGAAATCTTGGAAAAGGAAGAATTCATGATGAGACTAATTTAGAGCTTGTGGGCATTTGTGATCCGTGCGATTCTCTAAAAAGTTTTTCCCTGTTTTCCACTAGTCACTTCCGTTCTTCGCAACCCATTTTCTAAAACTGAAATTTCTTCAGGTATTCTCCGGCACCAAAAATTGTAGGATCTGCACACAAAAAAGAACAATGGAATAAAGTAATTTTCGATCACTCCGCCTACTCTTTGGTCCATTTTCTGGGTGTACCAAGACGGAAAATTGGTGGACGACGACGAGTTATGAGCAAAAATGAGGAGACGCTTTTTCCGTGAAGAACAAAAAGAACATTCGCTTCTCGAAATAAACACATTTTTGCTCTTTTTCCGGTTGTATTTGGTCAGCTGTTGTAACACACAAAAATGAGGGATAATCGTAGGAAATTGCAACGGAATTATTGAATGAAGTGGAAGAAAAAAATGCTAGAGAGTTCAGATATGAAAATCGCTTTTGAAGTTCATTTGGTTGTATCCAATTTCAATTCTTGGGAAAACGGCTCATAATTGATCCTTAGGCAAGGATCGAATTCGAGACGTCTTCTCTCTTATTTGCGGATTAATTTTCGATATTTCGTCAAAGTGCTTGAGCAGAACACATTAGGACTAGATATTTCTTTATTAAATAGATATAATGAGTTTGTGAGATTTTTACAAAATTACAATATATGGAAGTTATATACAGTGAAATCTTTTGAATCATTCAGACGACTTCCCATCCTCTGTCTTCAACGTATGGAGTGCTCAAATCCAACTCTTTGATCTTCACCATTTCTTCGTCCGTGAGTTGAAGAGTAGTGGACTGGAAAAACAACAATAATTTTAGGTTCAATTTTTGTATGGTATACGGTACCTTGAAGTTTTCGGAAACTCTCTCAATGCTCTTTGATTTCACGGCGACACCGTTTCCACTTTGCACGATCCATGTTAGAATGACAGACTGGAATGATTTTTTCAGTTGTTAAAACTTTCAGATTCTAGCTCACCGAAACAGTCGTATGATGTTTTTCAGCAATACCAGTCATAATTTGGTCATTCAATAGAGCACTATTCCCACGCCCGAATGGAGAGAATGCCTTAAAATTATCTTACATACCGTAAACACTCTGGGTCACCTGTACTTGCACTTTGAGCTCAATTATCTCTGTTCCTATGAGAGATAACCAAATTATGTTAACTGATAAAATTTTGTTCATATTACGACGAAGAGTTTGTCAGTTGAGCACATTTTTATATCTTTTACAGGAACGAGATATTTAGTATCAAAGTTGCGAGTATAATGTGGCCTTCTATTAGAGTGGTTACGGTATATATATTTTTAATACACTAGTACCTGAAAAAGAATTCCGTTCTTTTGACAGAATTCACGAAGCTCCTTCCGTTGAAAATGTGGATGAAATTCCACCTGATTGACAGTTGGCTCA